ACTGTTTTTTAAATGTTGTAAACCGCAATGAGTCGCCGACTTAGGCTGAGATATTAGCGGTATACAAGCGTAGAAATAAATAAATAAATAAATAAAAACCGTCAATTGGCAAGATGCATAAGACGATGTTATCTTTGCATCTTTCTCCCTCGCACTGCGTCCTATCTACCTTCTGGGGGGAAAAGATCCACTTGTTTAGCAATGTTTTTTCCAGAACTGTCATGACCTAGTTTTTGCTTGCACTATGTAAGAGCAGGGCAGAAAAAAAGTTTCTTGGAAATTTTGGCTTTTGTTTTGGGACATGCGTCTCTTTGCCTGTGTGTGTCTTCTATATAAATAAAAATGCTATGTTTGTTTGTGGGATTAACATAACTCAAAAACCACTGGATGAATTGACACCAAATTTGGACACAATACACCTATCACACCAACTAGTGAACATCACTCATAAAAACATTGAAAAACACAGCAGAAGAGACTTTTAAAGCCAAAAAACAAAAACAAAAATACATTACAACTCATGCGCAAAAACCACATATATACACAAACACACATTTTATTTATTTATTTACAGCTTTTATATTCCGCCTTTCTCACCCCGCAGGGGACTCAGGGCGGATTACAGTGTACACAAATATGGCAAACATTCAATGCCAATGTATTGTCGAAGGCTTTCATGGCCGGAATCCCTGGATTGTTGTAGGTTTTTCCAGGCTATTTGGCCATGTTCTGGAGGCAATTTTTCTCCTGACGTTTTGCCTGCATCTATGGCAAGCATCCTCAGAGGTAGTGAGGTCTGTTGGAAGTAGGAAAATGGGTTTATATATCTGTGGAATGACCAGGGTGAGACAAAGGACTTTTGTCTGCTGGGGCTAGGTGTGAATGTTTCAGCTGATCACCTTGATTAGCATTCAATGGCTTGGAAGTGCCTGGGGGGAATCTTTTGTTGAGAGTGATTTTATGTGCCTGTTTGTTTCTCCTCTGTTGTTTTGCTGTATGTCAAAATTCAATGCCAGTTTTGACATACAACATATACAGACATAGACAGAGGCTATTTAACCTTTTTCTGGCTGCCAGGGGAGTTGTCGCTTTACTTCCGCATTCCCCGCATGCTTTTGCTGGAATCTTTTTTTTATGGCCTCATAAATTAGTTAATTTAGCCTCCCCACACTTTAAGGTGGTACCTTATTTTCCTACTTGACAGATGCAACTGTCTTTCGGGTTGCAAAGGTCGACAACAGGCTACACAATTGGTTGGAAACCCACTCCAACATGGGCTGGCTTCGAACTCATGACCTTTTTTGGTATATATATATATACACATATACACAAATATGTGTATATGTGTCAGCCCTAGCTTCTGCCAACCTAGCAGTTCGAAAACATGCAAATGTGAGTAGATCAAGAGGTACCGCTCTGGCGGGAAGGTAACAGCGCTCCATGTAGTTATGCCGGCCACATGACCTTGGAGGTGTCTACGGACAACGCTGGCTCTTCGGCTTAGAAATGGAGATGAGCACCACACCCCAGAGTCAGACATGACTGGACTTAATGTCAGGGGACTACCTTTACCTTTACCTATACACAAATATATACACACATATATGCACACACAAAACACATATACACAGAAAGAAGGAAGGAAGGAAGGAAGGAAGGAAGGAAGGAAGGAAGGAAGGAAGGAAGGAAGGAAGGAAGGAAGGAAGGATGGAAGGAGAGAAGGAGGGAAAAAAAGAGGGAAAGAAGGAGAGAAGGAAAGAGAGAAAGGTAGAGAGAAAGGTAGAGAAGGAAGGAAGGAGAGAAGGAAAGAGACAAGGAAGGATGTGGAACCATAAAGCAAAGGAAGCGAGGAAAGAAACAAGTAGAGAAGGAAGAAAAAGAGGGAAGGAAGGAACGAGAGAGGGAAGGAAGGAGAGAAAGAGGGAGGGAAGGTTGGCCACAGCAATGCGTGGCGGGCACAGCTAGTTAAAAATATTGAATCTAGCAAAACGTCCTTCTATAATACTCATTAAAGCTCTTGCATGTGCTCAAGTCTGGATTAACCCATGCTGTTGTGGCTAATTAAAGCTCTTAATAACAAATCAGGCCTATTACTTACTGAACAAGATTTAACTGAAGTGTTGTGTGTGTGTGTGTGTGTGTTTAATGGGCTTTCCTGAAAGCTAGAAAGATATGAAACTGAGGGAATGGGAATGCTTTTGTCAACATTGACTCTGAAACCCTTGGGAAAGAATGCTCACTGCCCTCTGTCATTGTCAACCACCACATGTTTTTCTCTCCATGGGCAAAATCAACCCAAGCATGGAACATAATGGAATATTTTTCTTACGGTCACAGCTATCAAAATTCCCTGATTTAGGCAGCGACTGCAAATCCTAATTTTCTAGGATTTTTGGGCATTTGGAAATAGTATTTCTAGAGGACATGGATTATGTCCACAGATACTTCTACTGAACATACTATATACACTCAAAGATAAGCTGATTTTTTCAGCGTTTTTGTCCTAATGTCCGATCAAGACCAAACTTGGCACACAGAGCCCCCATGACCCACTCTACATCCCAATGCTGTTTGGAGGAGGATGGACGATGGATGATGGGACTTCCAGTACCTCCACTCACTTCCTGAAACCACAGCGACACTTATCCAAATACCAATAAAGACCAAACTTGACACAGAGAGCCTTCATGGCCAACTCAACATTCTGGTGAGGTTTGGGGGAGAACAGACTATGGATGATGGGACTTGCAGTACCTAAACTCACTTTCTGAGACCACTGTGACCCTCATGCAATGATTGATCAAGAACAAAACTTGGCACACAGAGCCCCCACAACCCACTCTCCATTCTGGTGCAATTTGGAGGAGGATGGACCACAGATGATGGGACTCGCAGTACCTTCACTAACTTCCTGAGACCACTGCAAGCCATATAAATAACTGATAAAGACCAGCCTTGAGACACAATTCCTTTCTCAGCGCCAGGTCCCCAAGCTAGTAAACAATAAATGCAGGGAGATGAGAGAAGTCTCCCACAGGATGGTAAAACATCCAAGGGCGGTTGTAGACAGCACTTTATCATGGGCTTTAGTGAGGGGCAAAAAATCCCGGGATTTCTGCCTCAGTTGTACAGACATAATGCTTTGTTCCAAGATTTAGGGGCTCCCAAGATGGCCACTGGAGGCAGGACTTCCTCTGGAAACCGGCAGGTTTTTTTTTAAAAAAACATTGCGAGATGTGGATATGCGGACATTTGGATATATGGTGAACCGCAAAAGCTCTGTTCTTTGTCCTGGCCAGAAAAACTGTTCCCTCCAGATGTTTTGTCATTATGTACTATTTTTAGAGCCTGGCTGCCTGGTCATCTGTCCAGACAAGGTATCCCATGATCTTCTGGCAAACAAAATAGTCAAGTGTGGGCTAGGCAAAACTACAATAGAAGTATAGTGTCTAGATCGAGGGAAGTCATGCTACCCCTCTATTCTGCCTTGGTTAGACCACATCTGGAATACTGTGTCCAATTCTGGGTACCACAGTTGAAGGGAGATGTTGACAAGCTGGAATGTGTCCAGAGGAGGGTGGCTAAAATGATCAAGGGCCTGTAGAACAAGTCCTATGAGGAGCGGCTTAAAGAGCTGGGCATGTTTAGCCTGAAGAAGAGACAGCTGAGAGAAGACATGATAGCCCTGTATAAATATGTGAGAGGAAGTCATAGGGAGGAGGGAGCAAGCTTGTTTTCTGCTGCCCTGGAGACTAGGACAAGGAACAATGGCTTCAAACTGCAAGAAAGGAGATTCCGTCTAAACATTAGGAAGAACTTCCTGGCTGTGAGAGCTGCTCAGCAGTGGAACTCTCTTCCCTAGAGTGTGGTGGAGGCTCCTTCTTTAGAGGCATTTAAACAGAGGCTGGATGGCCATCTGTCAGGGGTGCTTTGAATGTGATTTTCCTGCTTCTTGGCAGGCAGTTGGACTGGATGGCTCATGAGGTC